TGGGCCAGATGCACCCTGCCTCCTTATTAAACAAGCCAGAGTCCAGGGATGTTTTGGCTCAGGGCATTCGGGCTGGCCTGGCAGAGGGTTTGGGGGCAGGGGGACCCCTGGGACATTGGCTGGTGGGGAATTGGTGCTTTAGGGAAACTCAGGGAATGCTCCCCGGACCTGTTCAAAGGCCCTTCCCCTGTTCGCTTCTGAGGCTGTGTGATCCCCCACGCCCCCACAGGGGGTCCCTTATCTATGCCTGATCCCTGACAAGTGTCGTCGCTGCTCCTAGAATAGTTTCCACCCACAACCCCCCTCGCTGAGCTCCCACCCTAAGGGGTGACTCTGCTCCAGTCCCTCTCTCAGGGAGCTCACCAACGCCCCAGACAGCCTGTGGTCAGGAGCTCAAGCCACACAGCAGGACCCTGGCCCACTGCCCGGCCCAGAGCCCAGGCCACACAGCCCTCTGGGACAGACTGCCTTCCCACCTTCGCACATTGGCCTGCCCATGAGACCCTGCCGTAAATTTCCAATGCAGCTGGCCTTGGATGGGTGAAGCACTGTGCGATTCTAAATGACAGACACCAACCACGGCCTAGACCATCAGGGCAAGGCTGGGGCCAAACCACAGATCCGGAATGCCCGCGGGGAGAGACAAGAGGCCTTGGGAGGCCGGAGGACCAGACATGGGCCCCAGCCCTGGTGCCCTCCCATTGGGCCTCCAGCTTAGCTGGCTGCTGTGACCAGATCCCCATGACCACCCGGCCCGCAGCCCATGGGGCCCAGCAGGCACCTCTGTGACCCCATAGGGGCAGAAAACCCCCTTTTGGTTTTTTAAGAGTGGGACCCTTGTAGCCAAAAGAACCTTCTGAGATAGGGCCCAAAATTTTATTTTTTTTCCCCTCCTAACCATGATGGGATCCTGGATCTGAGGCGCTCGGGCTCAGGTGACTTCCTGCAGGGAACTGTCACCTGGGCCTGGATGAGGTCAAGGTGATTAGGTGGGCCTTGCCCCCCCCCACCCCATCATTGAAAGAGGTTTCCAGCCCCACGTGGGCCCAACGGGGGCTGGCCCTTTGGGGCCCAGGGACCCCAAGTGCATTATCCGCAGTGCAGAAGGGTCAAAGTCCAGCCTCAGGCAGCGAGAGATCTTGTTTTTGACAGGAGCAGACACATTCTCAAGGTGGAATTTGCAACAAAAACTATGTTGGCAAAGACTTAGCTGGTGAATCACTGAGTTAAGGAGAGCCAGTGTTTCAAATAGCAAATTTGCCAACTTAGCAATGACCAGTTCTGAAAAACAATTTGTTTATTTGAAGTACTTGAAATACTTAGGGCTGTCTCAGTTTGAAGCCTGATGATGCTTGTGTGATTTAAAAGGACAGACGTCACGAATGCGAGAGTTTTTGTGGCCAGTCCATCCTTGCTGGTGTGCTTCTCCCACTTTTGTTGCTGTGGAATTTGGAGCTTCACGGTTTCGGTGGCTGTGCCACGCCTGCCCCCGCATAACGAGGGGACTCCCGGAGACTTGGTGGCCATGTCACAGAGGAACAGGGGCCCGGCAGCGCGCAGCATCCACCCACCTTGTGGAGTATCAGTTCAGCGGCTCCTGGGGGAGCCAGAGGACATATCAAATGGGGTACTTGCAGGAAAGGGCTGTAATCCCCAGCACTTTGGCGAGGCCAAGGTGGTGGATCACCTGAGAGGTCAGGGACCAGCACTGACTAAAATGGGAGAAAACCTCATGTCCTACTAAAATAAATAATACACCAAATTAGCCGGGCGTGGGTACATTTAGCGGATATAGAGTTTTGGTTTTGTCAGATGAAAAAGTTCTGGAGATCGGTTGCATGGCAATGTGAATGTATATTACCCAACCCAAGGGTCCTTCTTGACCTCTGTTCCAACTGTATACTTAGAAGTGATTAAGTTAGTAAATTTTGTATATATTTTACCACAATTAAAAATAGAATAATAATAATAATTATCATTATTATTTGAGATCCCTCACTCTGTTGCCCAGGCTGCAGTGCAATAGCGCCATCTCAGATCACTGCAACCTCCGCCTTCTCGGTTCAAGCAATTCTACTGCCTCAGCCTCCCGAGTAGCTGGGATTACAGGC